CCCCCCCCCCCCCCCCCAGCTCTAATGGTAACCACTCTAGAGAAGATGCACACTCGCCTTCCACCATGTCTCCTAAAAGCTGTGCGCCACCGCCACAGGCTGAGGGCACATGGTTGCCCTGCATGGTCAGTCAACGTTGCTCTGCCTGCAAAGCCCTGGATCCCAGCATGTGTGTGGATGTGCAAGAATCTGTGGTAGCCAAGGCAAGTCTTACTGCCAGCTACCTAGTGCACAGCAGACCTGTGGGCTGGGACAGGCACCACACTGGGCCCTTCTCAAGCACAGCCTATTCAATGCCAGCTGGGCTGGCCAACTTCTCTCACCCTGGAGACAAGCCCTTCCCCAAGAATGTGGCCTTAGAGAGGCCAGGCCTAACCGGGCCTGGGGCTGTTCAGCAAGCCTGTACTGAAGATAGGAGGGGGTTTTAGCAAATTCTGGTGAAAGGCATCTCCCTCCACTCCAACCTCTTGCATAAAGACAGGATGCAGATCCTAATTCCCTCTCTCCATCCCACCCCGCTGCTCCCCAGCCTCCAAGAAGGGTCCCCAGGCTTCTAACCATCCAGACTGCATGGGAGGGTGAATGGCAGTGGACTTGGCACTTGTGGAGCTCCAAAAGGAGCTACACTGACAGACGGGTGGGTGAGCTCTGATTGCTCTTCATGCCCACGCTGCACAGCTGAAGGAGACGGTATGACCATGATGCTGAACTCTCTGGATCCAGCCCCTGGTCCCAACTAGCCTATCCAGAAGGTGGCATCAGATACCACTAGGACAAACTGGAAAACTAAGGTGATTGCCTGCTCCCAGTCCTTCCATATGGGATGGCTCTCCTGAGTGGTTGTGGCTGCCCATGTCACTGTCCCAGATGCAAATGGCTTTACCTACTATAGGGAGGGAGGATCCTCAGCCGCCTTGAGGAAAAGAGCACCCATGACTTGCCAAAGCTGGCTGAGGTAAACTGGTCTTTGAGTCTCAAGGCAGCACTCCAGCCAGCAGCCTCCACCTGCCTGTTGGTGAGGTCGCAACAGTCTCTTAAACCTGGAAGGCCTCCAGAAGAGAGAGAGAGAGAGTGTGTGTGTGTGTGTGTGTGTGTGTGTGTCAGAGAGTGGAGTCATGTACACTCACAACTGCAAGCAGGGGGAGTGAGGGGTTTGGTGGAACATGTGGAAAGGACCTGGATTCCTCTGTGCAGGACTGAGCACTGCCCTCTCCTGTAACCAGGCTAGAATGGAACCGCTCTGTTATATGGACACGAATCCAGAATTGGGGCATGGGAGCAGATTTATTCCAAGATAACCATTTCCATACAGGCTGCTAGCTGGGAATTGCTCTTTGGGTCAATGTAGCCCAAGGCAGACAAGCCCTGACACTGACTGTGTGGGTGGTTTTTTTTAAGAACATCCTACTCTTAGCCTTAGCTCTTACTGCTGCCCACAACTCTTAGTCACAACCTGGGGAGAGGCTCTTTGGGGGGCAGGCAAGTTGCCCCAGCAGGGGCTGTAAGCAGATATAAACAAAGAAATAAAACAACCATATTGACAACCAAGCCTACAGCCTGGACAGCACGAAAGCAGCTCTGGCCTGGTGGTCTGGCTGCAGGAGTGGAGCCTCAGCTGAGATTTTCAAGATGTGGGTAGATGCCCAGCACCCTCCTCTGACTGCTGCAATGCTCATCTGCCAGGGGGACGAGGCCCACTGCCCGTCACACTGACCATGGCTGCCTCAAATGATCATTTCAAGGGGGCAGAAAAACTTCCTGTTTTCAGCAGCAAAAAACAGGTTGGCACCCCTAGAACAGTCCCAGCCTCTGCTGCTCCCTCCCCAAAGAATTATGTTCCACACAATGCCCTTTGCTCACTAAAGTAGACTCTTGCCTTGTTACTGGAGCAGGAGGGGGACAGCTCCAATCTGGCAGCTCCTTCATGTCCCTCCTTAAGCAGTGCCTAGGGCTGATATTCCTCTCAGCTGCCCATCCTTAAGCTACTGCTTGTACTTAGAGAGTGTGGTCTCTTTGTTCTGTTTGTATGGCCCACAGCATGGGTGGGGAGTGTTGCAGATAGGCACTGGGAGCTACCAGACCCCACAGGCATACAAACACCTCTTCAATACTCACTAACTGGCCAGACAACAGTCATGTCTAAAAGTCTAATAGGCTTCATGGTCCACAGCTGCAGCCACCAAGACTGGGGGCAGTGGATGCCCTGTTGTGCCAGATGCTGGCACAGGGATGGCAGGGAGGGCCCTGCCAGGGCCTCTCCCAGGAGTTGTGGCAGTTGTGCCACTCTGTGCACAGACCCCCAATAAGAAGGTGACTGCCTGGAAGAGCTCCAACCTAAAATACTTGCAGGTGGCTGTCCCCATTTTACCCTGAGTCTCCAGAGCTCCATCTGTGCACCTACACCATCTCCACAGCATGTCTGTGCATACCACACGCGGCCTGGTCCTGCCCACTTATGCCAAACCTGGGAATGAGGCAGTAGAGTCCAACCAGGTGCCTGCTGCTGCTGCTCTCTAGAGCTCAGTCTTCAAGGGACTAAGTGCTGGAAGGGGCACTCCTAGGGCAACTTCACAGCCATGTTCCAGGAGTGATGCCCAAGAAACAGACAGGGCATCTTAGGGGCACTCTCAAAACCATCATGGAAGAAGATGAACCCGCAGTGACTTGCCACAGCTGAGAAGGGAGCCCAAGCAACCACATATCAAGTTCCCAATGCCAAGCTGCCTTTCTTGCTTCCTGGATGTCTGAGCCTTCTCTGGTGGGTACCCCATCTCCCTCCACGTAGCTTACACCAATGCTGCAACCAGCAGGCCAGAGCTGGGTGCCCTGCTGGTGACCAGACTTTATTACCAATGGCTTTGATTTCTAGCTGGCAAGTGCTGATGGGAGGGAAAGTGCTAGGTGTGGGAGTTTCTGGGAGGGGACTGGTGTGAAAGAAGGGAGCCTGAGAAGCACAGGTGAGGGGGGGACCTGAATTGGGGACAGAGAGGAAAGACACCAGCGGTTCCCAATCTGTGGTACAGGTACCACCAGCGGTACACAGACCACGTGTCAGTAGTATGCATTAGCAGATTTATTATTACTTTATACGACAAAAATTTGCTGGTGGTACTTAAGGTTGTATCATTTTAAATTGGTGGTGCGCAATCTGTCAGACTTTGGGAACCGTTGATGTAGACAGTACTGCCCTCCCATCAGAGCAGAGCCCTCCCATCAGATTTGGGGAGCCTTGGGACTACACAGGTCTCTGTCCTTGCCTGTGCCTCAGTTTCCCCCATCTGTAAAAAGGGGTCAGTGATATGTCCTCTGCTCTGGGAACTGCTATGAGGCCCTGGAAGGAAAGCACTGAACACCCCCCAGTATAGATACCATCATTACTCAAAGCCTGGACACAGACAACAGAAGGGCTAGGGTTGGCCTGGGTGCATTTGTAACGGGATAATACTTTCAAAGGGAGTTTGAAGGCTGGGGCTACGCAGGCAGACATGGCCGAGAACCACAGGGAGGGGGCTGGAACTCAGATGTGGAAGACCTAGAGGCAAAAGGCCCTTCCCCCTTTCTCCACCAGCCAGTCAGTCCCTCTGACTTGGAGCCAGGTGGGGGTGGATTCCCTCAGCACAGAAAGGCCCCAGCTCATGGAAGCAGGTGACGGGGCACTCTAAGCAAACAGGGTCCTGGCAGGTGTGCTACAAATTATTCCCATGCTCTCCCCAAGTGCCACACTGATCCCCTCCCCCAGCCTGACCTGCAGCGCTGCTCCCTTCCTATGCTCCCTGCCCAGTCTGTTCCTCTTCCACCTGCTGCTGATCTGCTAAGCACAGCACCAGGGACCACCAGTGCCACAGGCTGGCCACCCCTGCTCCGAGCTGCCCAAGCCAAAGACCATGTTGGGGCACTTTGGCTCTTGCTTGGTCCAAGATGGCGGGAACCGGGCAGAGGTTTTTCCCTCTAAAAGATGTCAACCTTGATGCTGCCCTAGGGCGAGGGGCACAGGTGGCTCAGGGCCATTCCCCTCCAGGAGCCTGTGGAGCCCACCCAGGTCCAGGACAGCAACCACCAGCCCAGCGCCTATTCCTACTATGCCTGTCCTGGGGGCAGTTCCCTTCGCTCCACAGAGCCACGCGCCCCCTGCCCTGGCCCTATGGATCTGCCCCGCTCTCCTATAGGTCCCACTTCGGCTCCCTGCTCCCTTATGGGCCCCCCACCCCAGACACCGGCCTCGCCCCCAGGAGCCGCATGGCCGCCCCGCCGCTATCCCCAGCCCACGGGGCGCCTGCAGACGCCGCCCCCGGTCCGGTCTCCCCATGGCGCCTATAGAGCACGGATCCCCTATAGCCCTCACCTACCCCTTCCCCAGGGTCCCTCCCAGGGCGGCACTGCAGACCCCTCCCCCCTCGAGGCTCCGCCCCCTATAGGACTCTGGGCGCCTATAGACCGCTCCCCCTGAGCTGGCCCCTCCCCCCGCCCCTCACCGGAGGCGCCTGCGGCGGATGCGCCGGGAGCTCCGTGCCCTGCCGTGGCACGCGGGCCGGCTATCGCGACGCGGGCGCCGATCCGTCGGGTTGCTGCCCCCTCCCCCCGCTCGCCGCCGTCTCTCGGGCTCCGCGGCATCCAAGATGGCGGCGGGCTCCCTCCGTCCGCCTCTCCGCCCCGGAGCTGGGCCCCGCCCCCCCTGGCCGCACCCAATTGGGTGGCCCGCACGTCCATTAAGCCTCTTTGGTTCTCTATTGGCTTAAGGTGGGAGTGTGGGCGGGACCGGGCGGGAGACTGGTCCATGCCTTTTCCTGCCAATCAACGGCCAGCAGCCTTCTGATTGGCTTTGGTACATACCCGTCAACAAGCCTTACCATTCACCGGGCTTAGGGGGCGGGGCACAAGCGAGACTCACCCACACGAGGAAAGGAAACTGGGGCTGGCAACTCTAGGAGTGTGGTTTTCCTATTGGTTTGCATAACCACCACTCACAGCGGCCGCCCAGATGATTGGTTAACAGTTTTGGAGGCGGGGCGACACAGAGATGGCTTCTCGTGATTAGCCAAAGGCAGGAGGTAGTGGTGGGACGGATAGGCTGAAGCTGTTGACGATGGGACCAATAGCAGTAGGACGCAATGAAGAGGCGGGGTTAAACACATTACTAATGCCTATTGGCTTGCAGGGTTTTTTATTCCAGTCTTTGTGGACCAATAAGATTAGAAAGTCAGGAAAGAGCCCGCCCCTGGACCCTCAGGGCCATATTGAGGCATAGCGACCAGGCCTTAAAGGGCCAGTGTGCACAGGGCCTGGCCTGGAGCTCAGGAGTGGCTGTGTAGCCACTTAATGGCTGGGGTCCAACACCAGGCCACCACTGGGGGTCAGCCAGGGTCAGCTCCCAAACCCCAGCTCACTCTGTGGTGTCTGCTCCCAACTGCCCCACTAACTCCATGGCCTCCCTGGCTCAGGAAGAGAACTCAGGAGTCCTGATGCTCAAAGTCCCTCTCACCTGCACCTATAAAGGGACTTACAGCAAACACCCTTCCCAGGTCTTCCCAGCTAAGAGAAAGCCAAATCAATGGGAGTTACCCAGCCTAGTCTGAAGCAAGTGGGGAGATGGTGGGGGGAAGGGTTCATAGATTTCATAGACATTAGGGCTGGAAGGGACCTCAGATCATTGAGTGCAAGCCCCCTGCCCCAGTTATATCATTACTTCCCCTCCCGACAGGGATCCAGGAGAGATGTGGGGGGCCATGGACTGAATCGCTTCCCAGCCCCATGCTCAGCTCCCAAGTCCCACCCGGCTCTTCCCAATTTATCACCTGTGGCTGGAAACAGGACCAGCACATTTTTACTGCCTGCCTTTTGTCCTGACCAAGGAGCCAACTCTCAATGAGGACAGAAGTACTGTAGTGTTGCTGGACTGCTTACTACAGTGCACCTGCAAGGCAGAGACTGGGTTTCACAGAATCAGAGAGCAGTCAAGCTTGAAGGAACATCCAGAAGTCATCTAATCCAACTGCCTGCCTGAGGCAGGACCATCCCTATGCAATGGTTGGCTCCCAAGATCCTTGAAGTTTACAATCAAATGAGTGACTTGTGCCCCCCTCAGGCAGATCAGTCTCCTACAGTGACTATAAGCAGGATCCTGGTCACACGGGTTCAGACAGCTTCCAAGCTGTTAGGAGCACAAGACAGTGCTAGGCTCCAGAAGTAGAGCTGCCAGAAGATTTTTCCCTCCCCTGCCAAAAGTCCTCCAACTCCCCTCCTCCCCCAAATTCATTGCAAAAGCAGCTGGGCTCCCTTTGCTTCTGGAGGGAAGTTAAAGCAGAGATGGCTCCAGCATGCACAGAGCAGTGGTTTGCAGCCTCATTCGACTCACGGTGCCCCTCAGAAAAAGTCAGCTCTTAGCTTTCACTTGTTTCTTGACTACAGCAAAATAACCGAGCAATGGTTCTGCTGCAGAAAACTCAGAATGTTTTGGATACTACTGACTCCTATTTGAAACCTCTGACTGTATTTTGTCAAACAGCTGTGTTTGCACACCTAACTGTGCTAATATTGTGTGTCACCCATTCCAGGACCTATAGCACTCTGGTTGACCATCACTGGTGTAAAGCAACTCAGCTCTGTGAGCTATGCACAAAGCGAAGCAGACCCTGACAGTTGAGCTCCAGGCTCAGCAGCCACAGACAATACCCTTCCCCAGAGGGATTCAGCTACGAGGCAGAAGTAAGGCTTTCCTGGTGGTTAAAGGAGGAGAGTAGAAGCCGGGGGGGGGGGGGGTCACACT